CTCTCTCTCTCTCTCTCTCCGTCCCTCTCTCTCTCCCTTTCTCTCTCTCTCTCTCACACACAAACAATCACTCACACACACTCACACTCAGAGGAACACACACGCACAGGTAGAAACACACACACATCCTTCAATCCATCCAGCCGTCCAATTCTGTTGGGTTATTGGTCTTTGGGGTTTTTTGTGGGGTTAAAAAAATATACTCGTTTCATTTTGTGAGGGTTGAAAAAAATTACTGGTTTCTTTTTGTGTCTTGTGAACGATTTTTCTTTTCCTTCTGTGTCCTTGTCTTAATTTATGAACGAAGGTTCCTAGTTTTCTGATTTTCATTTAGCAGGATTTCATTTCTCCCTTTAAAAAAGGAAGTTTTTATAGTGTTAAAAAAATATTCTTCGCAATTTATGGCTTTTTTAATCTTCTTTTTATTACACCCCTTCATTGTTGCCAAACTGGAAAGGAAGGCTCAGAGATTGGGCTAGGCGAGCGCGAGGGTGGTGTCGTTTTGAGCATGCACGTGTGCATCGAGAAGTGTTGCGGTCGTATTTTGATTGTATGTTGCGGTCGTATTTTGAAGCGTTAAAATCGATTGTTCATGTGTACGACGACGGAGTCAATGGGAGTCTTCTTGCCCAGCTTTTTGATCTTATTGTTGGGTTCGGTGTCTTTTAAGTGTGACCCGCTGCCTGGTTCATGTTTCTTCGTGTGTGTGTGTGTGTGTGTGTGTGTGTGTGTGTGTGTGTGTGTGTGTGTGTGGTTGTGTGTGGTTGTATGTGTGTGTGGTTGTATTTGTGTGTGCTTTTGTGTGTGTTTTGAGTACGTATTTGTAATGTGTGCATGTGTATGTTATATTGTGTAGTATATGTGGGTTTTTGTTGAAAGAGTGCGTATTTATTTGTTAGTTGTTGGGTGAGGGACGATAGGAAGAGGGGAGGGTCAAGTGTTGGGAGTTATCCTTACTATTGAACAGTACTGTTCCCTGCTTTCTCACCGTGGGTGGTTGGCGGGTGCTCAGGTGTGGTTTGCTACTTGTTTCCTATCAAACATCTAGATCTATCGTCTTTATCTCCCCTCCATCTTTTTTGTGTTTGTTACTCCCTTGTAACACCTCTAATCTTCTGGCCCTCATATGACCTTATGCAGCTGCGAGCGCCGTAAAACCTCTACTAAAACTAAATCTGAAGAGGAGTGCGTGTTTAGTTGTTGGGTGAGAGACTATAGGAAG